AGACATAGAGCCAGGCCCCCCAAACTGCGGGAGACACTTCCACCCGCCCCGGGTGCAGCGTACGGACCCCAGCGTCGCCCGCGGCTGCTCACCCCGGGGCAGACAAGCCCTGGCGCTCCCGGGCATCGCTGCAGATCCCCTTGAATCACCCCTGGCGGGGCTGCTGCTGGACAGGCAGGACGGTCCAGTGCTTAGAGCGCCAGCCTGGAATCTGGGGTCACATCCCAGCTCCCCCACAGACTCCCCGCCACTTAGGCCAGGGTTTGGAAGGTGTTTCGTTGTTGCTGCACTCAGCACTGCAAGGCCTGACTATCCCCGGTCTCAGCTGCTCCGTGCCTCAGTTCCCCCATCTGTACAATGGGGATAACAGCACCGCCCTGCCCCCCCAGCGGGAGTGAGGGTCAATACATGAGGCTGTGGGGATGGGGCCCCTAGAAGGACCATAGACAGGGCTACCAGAGCCCCCGGGATGGAGCCATGGGGCACGCAGAGGCCTCTTGCCTCGATTACACCCCGTCTCTGAGCTCGCTTCGGCTGCCCGGAAGCCGCGGGATGAGCGGAGGTTGATTTGTTTCCATCCAGTGGCCGGAAAATCCAGGGGGGGAATTGTTTCGACTCCACCTGAGAGGGGAACGTGTCTGGTGGTCTCGTCAAAGCAAAACCCCCCAAATAAATCTGCTTGGGGCCTGAACACAACGTTTAACCTTTGTACATTTTTTTTTTAGAAGAATCTCACCACGTGTGTGAACTTCGGTTCCAAACGAACCATTCGACCCCAAACTGCCCCCGCTCCCTTTTCCATGGCATTTCTAGGCAGAAATTCACCCTTTCTGGCTCTGTGGTTTTAACACAACCCAGCTCCATTTTGACACAAACTGGTTTTCTTCCAGCCGAAACGCGTTGGTGACCCTGTGACACTGCGTCCCGTAGGCCTCACCGTGAGATGAGGAGGAGAGGGTGACGGCAGAATTCTGCTGCATTTGCTACAAGTCATGTGAGGGGTCATTGGACAAGGGATGGTTTGCTCAATACGATCATCCTAGGTGTGTGCATGGAACATTTTGGTATCTGAAGTTATGAGTATTGACTGTGTATCTGTACACCTGGGGAACACCATGTTTTCAGTCTAGATAGCGGGTGGGGAATGGCCTGTTCAGGGCAATGGGCCATTAGGAAAGAACAACAGGCCTTAGGAGAAGCTCATCTCCCACCTGGGGAGCCTCCCTGAGAACCCCACACACAGCCTGTGAGTGACGCTGCTGTGACGCGATAGGGACATGCGATGAGACCACATGACTCCAGCCTCCATCTTGGGGTGTCAGTATTTTCCCACAACCCGGTCTGGGAACCAGGCTTTGGAACAAAGGGCTCCCGCCAGATGCTAAAGCTGTATGAAGTGGGGAGTGACGTCACCTGGGGTTCTTCGCTCCCCACCCAAAGAGACCCCTGGAAACCCCCGAGGAACAAAGTCTGACCGGGGGGAAGTGCTGGCCCCAGGCTAAAGGGATTTCTAGTCTGTGTATGGAGCACCCGGGGGTTCCAAGCTGTCAGCGAGGGCAGCTTGTCCCTCAAGGATCTGCAGCCGGCGTGGATCATCCATCAGGGTGAGACTCTGCGAATTCACATCCAATCTAGTTAGTGTATTAACTGAGTTTGCGGTTTGGTGTATTTGCTGGGTAATCAGCTTGGGTCTGTTTGCTATCCCTTATAATCACTTACATTTGATCTTTTGTAGTTAATAAACTTCTTTTAGGTTTTAATCCAAACCCGTGAGCTTTGCCTGGAGTCAGGCCCGGCTCCGGCGTTTTTCCCGCCCCAAGCGGCACTTCGGTGGGAGCTCTACCGCCACCACTTCATTCTTCGGCGGCAATTCAGCAGCCAGTGGTTCCCTCCGAGAGGGACCGAGGGACCCGCCGCCCAAGACCCGGACGTGCCGCCCCTTTCCGTTGGCCGCCCCAAGCACCCGCTTCCTGTGCTGGTGTCTGGAGCCGGCCCTGCCTGCAGTGCTTGGGGGAGATCTCGGCTTGGTTCGCACAAGTGTGCATTGTTCTCCTCACATTGAGGGAGAGGCGGACGGGGTGTTGAACCCACGTACTGGCCAGCTTTGACCAGGGCCGGAGGGCGCTGCTCTGGGGCCCAGGCTAGGAGGCTGGCGGTCAGAGAGCCTGCGTGTAACTGCAGCTGGGTGTGGCCTGACCTGTGTGATGCTGGTGGAAGTGCAGCTGGGGGGTTTTGCAGCATGTCACAGCAGCACAGGGTGAGAGGGAGCCCAGGCTGGTGGGTCAGGGGGCTCTGGGGTACCCCAGTTCCAGTGGAACCCCGGGGGGAACCTGTCACAACCCCATCGGCAGAGGAAGGGCACTGGGGTCTGTGGGCCCATTCACAGCCGCGGTGACGGAGTTAGGGCTATGGGGTAGAGTTATGGGGTTAGGGCTATGGGGTGGGGGTAGAGTTATGTGAGGGCTATGGGGTGAGGGTAGTTATGGGGTTAGGGCTATGGGGTGGGGTAGAGTTATGGGGTTAGGGCTATGGGGTGAGGGTAGTTATGGGGTAGGGCTATGGGGTGGGGTAGAGTTATGGGGTTAGGGCTATGGGGTGAGGGTAGTTATGGAGTTAGGGCTATGGTGTGGGAGTAGTTATGGGGTTAGAGCAGGGGTTGGCAACCTTTCAGAAGTGGTGTGCCAAGTCTTCATTTATTCACTCTAATTTAAGGCCAGTCATACGTGTTAACGTTTTTAGACGGTCTCTTTCTATAAGTCTATAATATAGAACTAAACTAGTGTTGTATGTAAAGGAAATAGGGTTTTAAAAATGTTTAAGAAGCTTCATTTAAAATTAAAATGCAGAGCCCCCCGGACCAGTGGCCAGGACCCGGGCAGTGTGAGTGCCACTGACCCCTGGGTTAGAGCTATGGGGTGGGGGTAGAGTTATGGGGTTAGGGCTGTGGGGTGGGGGTAGTTATGGGGTAGGGCTTTGGGGTGGGGGTAGAGTTATGGGGTAGGGCTATGGGCTGGGGGGGTAGTTATAGGGTTAGGGCTATTGGGTGGGGGTAGTTATGGGGTAGGGCTTTGGGGTGGGGGTAGAGTTATGGGGTTAGGGCTTTGGGGTAGGGGATACAGTTATGGGGTTAGGGCTATGGGCTGGGGGGGTAGTTATGGGTTAAGGCTATTGGGTGGGGGTAGTTATGGGGTAGGGCTTTGGGGTGGGGGTAGAGTTATGGGGTAGGGCTTTGGGGTGGGATAGTTATGGGTTAGGGCTATGGGGTGGGGGTAGTTATGGGGTAGGGCAATGGGGTGGGGGCAGTTATGGGGTTAGGTCTATGGGGTAGGGGATAGAGTTATGGGGTTAGGGCTATGGGGTAGGGGAAGAGTTATGGGGTTGGGGTACAGCAAAGAAGACAGGTGTCAGGGGTTAGGGTTGAGGTCTTAGGGCCAGGGTCAGACCCTGCTCTCCACCCCTCCCCCGGTGCCGACGCACCCTGCCAGCCCCCCCGGCCGGGATCGCCCCTGGCCCCAGCCCCGCGTTAGCAACTGCTGCCTTTGCTCTCGCTCCACACCCAGGCGATGGCCCCTGCCCGGGCCCGGCTGCCCTGTGCCCCGACCCCAGTCGCTCCAAGCCCCGGGGGACAGGGGAGGAGCCGGGACCCACCTGCCCCGGGGCAAAGGCGGCTCGGTGTCCGCTCGGTGTCCCTCCCGCGCCGTCCGTCCGTCCGTGCGGCTCAGAGCCGGGCTTTTGCTGCACCTGGTCCAGGAAACAGGGGACGAGTCAGATGGAAACTGAAAGCAGAGGCAGGAGCCGGCTTAACTGCTTCAGACTCAGGGACGGGCACCCACACAGGGACCCTGACCCCCTGCGTGGCACAGCCCCTCGCCCAGCCCCCTCGCCCAGCCCCGACCTCGGGCCGAGTCGCTGCCGGCCCCGAATCAGGGGTTACGGACTCCAGGCGACAGACTCCACCATGGACACCCGTTCAACCTGCGAGTGCTCCCTCCCCCCAGCCCCCGCACACCGGGTTTCCCGGAATCAGCCCCGTGCTACGAAAGGCTCCGGCTGCTTTCGGTTTCTACCTGCCTGAGGCATTCAGGGATTGGAGCTGCCAGACCCAGCTCGCCCCCCGGCCCCGGGATGTGGGCCGGCACCATGGACAGTTCTCTGACAGAGAGGGTGTCTGGGGATAGACAGATGTGGGGTCTGGGGATAGCTAGGTGGATGGTCGCCCACTAGCCAGCACACATTGGTCCCAGGTTGGACAAACCCCCATCCCGGCCGCTCTCGGTTCCTGGCCCTGCCTCCGCGCCGGGGGCTGCACGTGACGACCCCGCGAGGTCGCTTCCAGCCCCACGTTCCCGTGGCTCGATAACAGACTCACGCGAGCCGGGGGATTTCACGGCTGGCCCAGAGGGGGAGGTGAAGCAGAAGGTCTCTCACCGGTTCTCCTGCCGGCCAGCTGGTTCAGAAGGTAGGACTTGCCGGTGCGATACAGCCCGGCCACGGCCACCACCACCACGGGCTGATCCACGCCACGCAGGGCCTCCAGCACCTCCTCCGTCACCTCCAGCCCATCGGCCGGGTTGGCGATGAGGCACACGGGCTGCTCCATCGCCCACCTGTGGAACAGCAGGCGCAGAGCCGGAGCCGTGGGAGAGTGGGGGAAGGGCGGCTCCGGCGTTTCCCTCCACCCCAAACCCCTGTTCTCAGGCCGCTCCGCAGGGACCGCAGCCCCCAGCGTGAGAGTCACTGTCAGACACGCGACCGCTGCCTCGCCACCCTCCCAAGAGAGACGCTGCCGAGGTTGCGTATGAAGTCAGTGGCACAGCAGGGATAGAACCCAGGAGTCCTGGCTCCCAGCCCCTCCACCCCCGCTCTAACCACTAGACCCCACTCTCCTCCCGGAACAGGGGACAGAACCCAGGAGTCCTGGCTCCCAGCCGCTCCACCTCCCGCTCTAACCACTAGACCCCACTCTCCTCCCAGAACAGGGGACAGAACCCAGGAGTCCTGGCTCCCACGCTTCTGCTTAATCCACAAGACCATCCTACCTTAGGAAATGTAGGTGGCAAGAGATAAATTTTCTCTCCCCCTAGTTTATTCCATCCGACCCCCCAGGGAAATCTTTATTCCACTCACTTCTCTGCATTTCCCGCTTCCGTCCCTTTCCACCCTACCAGCTCCGGCCCCACTACACAAGCGTTCAGCTCCGTGGGCTACTGACCGGCCCGGCTGGGATCCCGCAGCTCGCTCAGGACAACCCTCGGCCTTCAGCCGCGGCTGGTCAAACACTGGAGCGCGACTGGACGAGCCACAGAGCCAGAGATTCCCCTGCCCTAGGAGAGGAGCAGGGTCTAGTGGTCAGAGCAGGGGGGCAGGGCTGGGAGCCAGGACTCCTGGGTTCTCTCCCCGGCTCTGGGAGGGGAGTGGGGGCTGGTGGGTTAGAGCAGGGGGGCTGGGAGCCAGGACTCCTGGGTTCTCTCCCTGGCTCTGGGAGGGGAGTGGGATCTGGTGGTTAGAGGGGGGTGGGCCTGGGACCCAGGACTCCTGGGTTCTCTCTCCAGGCATAGTGGTTAGAGGGGTGAAAGCCAGGACTCTGGCCAGCTGCTCCAAAGCAAATGGGCATGCCAGAAGTGCCAGGCCCAGCTCAGGGCTGCTGCCAGCACACACAGGCCCCCCAGTGGCAATGCCCTCGTCGCCCGCCGGCCCCGTAGGGCAGGCATGTTCCCTGCTGGTCTGGAGCCAGGCCACGTTTGTATCTGGCAGCCAGGGCACAGCACAGCTGCGCCCCCTTTCCCGGGCACTGCCGGGTTCCCCACAACCCCTCCTGGGCCAGACGTTCTGGAGAGCACCGGCGCAGTGCTTCTATATCGTGATGCCAACTTTTCCCAACCTACAAGTTTCCCAAATCTCGTGAAAAATTCCCAGATAAAGTTTTTTACAGTGCTTCTGTATCCTGGGAAATTCCCCAAACCCTGGGAATTTGTGAGTAAAATGTTTCAACTTGGGAAATTGGGAATTTTCATTCAAAAAATTGTACTAAAAAATTCCCAGGGTTTGGGAAATTTCCCAGGATATGGAAGCACTGCACCGGGATGAGGGCACGACAGGCCAGGGCCCAGGGCCCCTTGCTGCTCACCCAGCTCGCTCGTGGCGCATCGGGCCCCCAATCAGGCGCCCGCCTCCTACCCTGGCAGCGCATCACAGGCCCTTGGAATGTGGGATCCCCCGCTGTGGGCACTTGGGACCCAGCACCAGCTCCCCGTAGTTTACAGACTGGTCCATTGCATCGCCATGCATTGCATCAGCCCCGCCCCCAGTGTACGGACCGGACCATTGCACCAGCCCCGCCCCCAGTGTAGAGACCGGACCATTACACCCCCGTGCATTGCACCAGCACCCCTCCCAAGTGTACAGACCGGACCATTGCGCCCCATGCATTGCACCAGCACCCCCCCAGCGTACGGACCAGACCATTACACCCCCATGCATTGCACCAGCACCCCCCCCACTGTACAGACCGGACCATTGCATCGCCATGCAATGCACCAGCTCCACCCCAGTGTACGGACCGGACCATTGCACCAGCTCCACCCCAGTGTACGGACCGGACCATTGCACCAGCCCCACCCCCAGTG